TCGGTTTATTTCCCACCAAAATGCCAAGTAATGGTTTGTGGTCAGTGATTATAGAAAAGGATCTTCCATATACATATTCATGGAATCGTTTGATTGCAGACACAATAGCGAGAGCCTCTTTATCAAGTTGGCTATAGTTTCTCTCAGTTTTAGATAAAGTTCTTGAAAAAAATGCAATAGGTGCCTCAGTACCGTTTGGCAGGACATGGCTCAGGATGGCTCCTACTCCAAACGTTGAGGCGTCACAGGTGACAGTTAAGGGTAAAGTCTCATTATATTGTATCAATACAGCATCTGATGTTAAAAGGTCTTTTACTTGCTGAAAGGCTCGCTCTTCTCGATGTCCCCAGACCCAGGAAGCCTTCTTGTCGAGGAGCCTATGCAGGGGTTCAGCAACAGTCGCCTTCTGGGGTAGGAAGATGTTATAAAAGTTGATGAGTCCCAGGAAGGCTTGGAGATCTGTTTTGTTTTTAGGTCTCGGGGCGTTTTTTATTGCAGCCAATTTTTTTTCAGTAGGGTGAATTCCCTGTTTGTCAAGAAGGTACCCAAGGAATTCAACCCTCTCAGTACACAGTTGACACTTGTCCTTCTTGACCTTCAGGCCAGCGTCTTTGAATTTTTGGAGGACCAATCGTAGTCGTTTTTCTAGTAGGCTTCTAGTGGGGGCGGCTATTAAGACATCATCGAAGTATGGTACGACCCCTTTTATGCCTTGTAGCAATCTTTCCATCAGACTTTGGAAGATGCCCGGTGCTACACTCACTCTGAATTGGAGTCTATTACACTTGAATGCACCTCTGTGCGTGACTATAGTTTGGGCTTCTGCAGTCTCTGCATCTACGGGCAACTGCTGGTATGCCTGGGCTAAGTCCAATTTTGCAAATATTTTTCTGCCCCCAAGGGAGTGAAGAAGGTGTTGGACCACAGGCACGGGGTAAGCGCTCTGCTGAAGCGCGTGATTTAGGGTGGCCTTGTAATCCCCACAAATTCTCAAAGATCCGTCAGGCTTTATGAGGGTTACAATTGGGGTCTCCCATCGGGCGTGGTCAATCGGTTCCAACACGCCCTGGGCCATTAATTTGTCCAATTGTTCATCAATCTTTGGTTTAAGTGCAAAGGGCACTCGACAAGGCTTAAGGCGAATGGGCACAATATTGGGGCTGAGATTAAACGATATGGGGGACCCCTTGTACTTGCCTAGCTTCTCGGTAAAAACGTCCTGGAATTCCTGGACGAGGGCAGCTTCCCAGTCATCGTTTTCAGTCTGATTGATGCCAGCTAGTTCAATTCCTAGCGGCGCGAACCACTGCAAGCCTAACAAGCTGGGCCGATCTATCGACGACGGTGAGTGGTAGGGTTGCGGTGTGGTCTTTGAAAGAGACTTGGACGTTGCTGGAACCGGCAACTGGAATTCTGGTAGTCTTTTAATATAACTTTCTGAGTGCTGAGGTCCTGGCGACGGATGTCAGGGATCAGCTGTCTGAGGGTTTTCCAG